TCCGTCTGTGAATCGACGGTCACTGTGCCCTTCCATGATGCACATCTGTTTTCGATTCAAAGACTATGAAATTAGGGTCCTTCAAGGATTTGTCTAAGTTTTGGTCGACGGATGGCATCGACGCCTTGACGATCAACCAACACCCCGTCGTCTGCCTTCTTAGGTGAACACTGCCAGGCATGCTTGACCCCAAAATGCAAGGGTCCTTTTCAAGGGCCCTTGGTTGGTTCTTGTGCAGTCGTATCCGGAAATTTCGACCCTAAATAAACTTAAACACATGTTAGACACCCTTCCACCAATTTTCATGAATTTCTGACTCCTAAAAGCTAGTTAAAAGGTTAAGGCGCGCTAGTACCTCCTTAAACTACTTTCCGGACGTCATGGACGTTGTTGGACGTTTTGGTTTCTAGACTTCCTAAATGACTTATATTCATTCAAATAGACCTTTTAAACAGTGTCTAGAACTTATAACACTTATGTTAGGCTCTAGAACACGTCTTGGATTTTCGAAGTGTTACATCCGATACATTTTGAGGTGAAGAAACAAGAGTCTGAATTTTCAATGTAATTGTTGTGCATTAATACGACAGACAAAAAGACTGAAGATATACATAACTTTGATGGATCATATATCCCTTTTATAATATTGTGTGATTGTTTATTGAATTGTGTTTCGAGATGGATATTATCAATACATTACTCTATTTATGTATCTTGTTTAAATATATAATTGTTGCATTTCTACTAGATAAATTAAATAAGTAATTGTTGGTCATAACATGTTAGATTTGAGATCGATACGTTACTGTTTTATAATTGCTATATATCGGGTACATTTAGTATAAATTCAAATATACGTATCATACTCAAAAAATTAGTGCATGATACATTATTATTTATGTATCTTATTTTATTTGTGTTATACTATATTTTAAAATTAAAAAAAATGCATTATACATGTAATTGTTCTAACATAGTTTCTTTTGTGTGTGATACATAACACAAATTTTATGTATCAAATATATTTATATTGAAATGATAGACAGTTTTGAATATTTAACAACATTTGAGTTATGTATCAATACCTTAAATATGAACATGATATAGTGCATAAAACAAAGGCTATTGTAGTAGTCATGTATAGGATTGATGATAACATTAACAAAGACTAATTTAAGAATCAAAATAAATGAATACATCAAACATACGTATCTTTGATAATGTGGCTGTGCAATGGCTGGTCTTGAATAACTTGAAATCATTAATTGAAAAAAGAAAAGATTTGAAGTTCAAAAATAGATTAATTTGAAAGAAAAAAGATTTGAAATTAAAAATAGATTAGTTGATGTAATTATAGAGAGATTTGTGACATGAAAAAAAGAAGTTCAAGGTATGAGATTTTTAATTAATGTATTTGGAAAAAGGAATGATGGAGCAAAATAAGGGATTTTTTTTATATTTCTTAAAATGGTAGGGAAAATATGATAATAAGTGGTGGGTAGTTAAGTAATTTTTCCTAAAAAAAATAGGATTAAGAGTTTGTTTGGATTGACTTACAAAGTAGCTTTTAAGTCAATAATAAAAAGTCAAACTGAAATGACTTTTAAGTTAAAAAAAAAGTAGGGGAGACCTACTTTTGGTTTTGACTTATTTTAAGTCATATTTTACCTTGCCAACACTTCCTACCTTATTTTAAGTCAATTTTGACTTATTTAAATTATTTTTTATATTTGCTAAATACTTTCAGAAGTCAAAAGCTAACTTCAAAGTAAGTTTGACCAACTTTTAAGTCAATTCAGATACCCTCTAAGTTTGCAACCTTAAACAATAATAAGATAGAGCAAAACACAATACCACTACATTAAATCAATACCAAACCCCATAATTACACCATTAGACTTTGGGTTTTAGCAACCCATAATAAAAGGTAAAAAAATTATACCCATCGTAATAACAACCAACTTTCTAATCGATGGATATCTTTTGTCATTTCCTTTTTGAATTCCTCCATATGAGATAAATTTCCCATGTAGAGATGTATATAAGCATCAACTATCATATTTGCTTTTCTCGGATGATAGACAATGTCAATATCATATTTCTTAAGCAACTCAATTCATCTCCTTTAGTTGAGGTTCAAATCTCTTTACTTGAAAATGTTATAAAGGATTTTATGATTAGTGAAGATATCAACATGAACTTCATATAGATAATGGTCCCAAATCTTCAACGAAAGCACTACATAACTAACTCTAAATAGCGAATTTGATAGTTCTTCTCATGATTAATGCATTGCCTAGAAGTGTAAGTTGCTACATTCACATATTGTATCAGACCATACCCAATACTTATTCCTAAAACATCAGAATATACTATGAACCTATCGATTCCATGTGGTAGGAGAAAACAAGAGCCAAAATCAACAGAGTTTTTAGCTTTTGGAAACTTTCCTCACACCTATCTAACCATTGGAACTTGGTGTTTTACTAAGTCTGTTTGGTCAATGGGGAAGAAATAGAGGAAAATCATCTACAAATATCATATAATATCCAGACAAATCCAAGAAATTTTGAATCTTGATTAGCCTTGAAAAATTCTTTACGACCTTAATATTCTAATGCGGGGTGTTAAAATACACAAATGACACTCCTTGTGACGCTCCAACTTAAGATAAAAAGTTCCACATCAGCAAAACACATGAGAGATGTTGGGTATATAAGTAAGCATGCCTAACTAACTAGTGACACATTTTAAAATTGGCGAGCCTAGGCCCAAAGTAGAGAATATCACGTCTGAGCCATTTCACTCCTCCTAAATGTCCTTCACCATATTTATTACATGGAGGATATTGTAAATTATTATGAACTATGTTTTTATGTGACTGTAATCTTAGTGCTCTGAAACTCTATCCATGACCAGTCTGAACTTTCTAATCATATTTGGGTCTCTTATATCATAGATGGTGCATTAGCCGCATAAGGTGAAAGGTCTTGATGATGCTATATTAAAGAAGAACTTTCCACTAACTTCCTAACATCCTCAATTATTGTTAATTGATATGTCCCTCTTATTATTCACCTTATCGTTATTGGATAAATAACCTTCAACTTATAATCTCTTTCATTTGATGTAGAAAATCCATCAACCTAGAAATATCATATATTCGTCCAAAACTGTTGTAAACACTAGCTCACCATATAGGATCCATGTATGAGCACAACTCAACACATCCTCACTTGCATAGTACAAACTAATCTAGGAGCAAATTGGGAAGCAAGACATAATCTGTCACATCGTGTACTACAAACTCATCCACCTTGGTATCCCTAATATCTAAGGGTAAAAAGTTATCAACAAAAGGCTCATACAAACTCTTTCTAGATTATGGAAGATGTATCCCCTTCTCGCGAATCTTCTCATAACTTTCTCTGCTCAATAACATGAATGACTCAAAAAGGCTCAATATCCTATTGATTAAGTTTTGGGGATCCTATTCGAGGTTAGACCCCTTGAAAACTTAAGGATTCATATAAACCAATTCCTTAATTCTAAAACATGCTGACCCATTTTGAGCACCTTAAAGGTTTTGCCCCCAATAACAAGCTAGTTGAGCAATTGAATGGATCCCCTTATGTCGATATCAAAAGAACTTGGTGGTGGCATATGTATTGTAGGGACAATTCGTAGGACTTTCAGTGGGTAGTGAAAATGAAGTCTAAGGTGTATGGCCAGATGATGGTCGTAGTTAGAACTCCGTGAGTCTTAGACAACCCATTGAAGTTCACTTATGGATAAGTATGTCTATTCTGACTTATGAGTTGATTTTTTCGCAGGCATTTTTGAAAGAAACACAGTAACATACAAATTAGAAGCAATTCTTAAGGCATGTCACTAATGCATGATCAAGCATACGAAAAATAGGGTCACATTTTCTGAATATCTTGCAGGCTCCTAATTATAAGCATGTGAGTCTACACACCCATAAGTAGACATAGACTTTCTCGGATATTTGAACCTAGTGTTGTAATATAATATTTGTCACAACCCAAACCTTGGCCTAGGAAAATTGGAACTTTGTGCCTCAACTTGACCAAGCGAATCAAATCTATATGATATATACTTCAGTCATACATGAAATAAGATGAGATAAATCCATAATGTAAATCTTTGAAAGAGTTCCCTTCATATATACCTTTTTTTAGTTTAAATACATTAAGACATCAGCCAAAATCAAATCCTGTTAACATTTTTATCATTGAACAATTGGTCTACAAGGCCTATAAAGCATATCGTGAATAACAATGTTTATTGGGACAAGGATCTAGTATGCCTAAAAGCTAATAATGTTAAGTAAGAAAATTGTGCCCAAAGATCAAGTACGGTTCACCAAGAGTTGAATCTGTGAAAAACTTGTAAGAGTTAGTGTTTCAATTAATTTTGAAACAAATTCTTCCGTTAAAGGTTTTTTGAAATATAAAAAATACATGAATGTGAATTGTAACATTCACTTTTGTTTTTAAGTCTACGTTATGGGTCTTTTAGAAGAAGCTTTTTAATTCTACGTTATAGAATTCTGAAAGATAAGTTTTTTCTTTTAATTTAGAATCTATAATAAATACAATTTAATTAAAGTATTTTTCTTACAAAACCTTTTTACAATAAATTGAGTTTATTTGGTTGAAAAGAAAAAGAATTCAAACAAAAGTACTTTCCCTTGAAAAACACTTCTGAGATATTAATCAAAAGGTGAAATCACCAATTCAAGAATAGAAGAGCAACATTCTTGAATGCTACTTGTTTTGTGGCTTAGTTGAATTCCGAAGATAGAGTTGTTATTTATTCTTTCGATATCTCGTGGGAAAGACTCCAACTATCTTCAAGAAACGTATTAATGTGTTAAGCCAAATAAGTTTTATTTTGGATTCCTTGTATTTTTATCATTCCTGTTCATTTGTTCTAACAATTTGAAGATAATTGTCACTATGACATCCACATCAATAATGAACATTATTCCATATTTTCCTAATCCTGGTTTTGAAATATTTGATGGTAAAGACTTTCCTAGATGGGGTGGAAAGATGAAATTCTTTTTAAGACGATTAAAATTGGCATATGTTCTTGAGAAACCTTGTCCTAACGCTCCTGGTTCTGAGGTAGCAGCGGACGAGGCTACTTTAATTAAAGAACAAATTGCCAAATGGCAAGATGATGATTACTTATGCAAGAATTATATTCTTGAAAGAATGTCCAATAAATATTATATTAAGTGCAAATTTGCTAAGGAGATTTGGGATACTCTTAAAGCTATTCATTTAGTAGAAGCGGCGAGTTCAAAGAAATTTCTTATTTCAAATTATATGGAGTTCAAAATGGTTGATGACCAGTCAATCACTGAATATGTACAAGAATTTCAACTTATAGCTAATAAAATTGCTATATCTGGAATTGATCTTGATGAAAACTTTCATGCTGGTGCTATTGTCTCAAAACTTCCTTTATCTTGGAAAGAGTACATAAGAGAACTTTTACACAAGAAAGAAGATTTGACTCTTGAAGAGTTATTGCAACACTTTCAAATTGAACAAGAGATATGATATCGTGACAATAACCTCTTGAAAAAACCCATCATGAAAGCTCGTGTTGTTGAAGAAAAGATAAAAAAGGAACCTGCAAATAATGAATTTTTGAAGGCAAAGAAGAGTAAAAATTTCAAGCGTACTAATTCTAATTCTAAGTTGATTGAATGTTATCAGTGTCATAAAATTGGTCACTATGCACGTGATTGTAAAATTCTTAAAGCTGAAAAGAAGAAAGAAAAGGCAAATAACAATACAAAAAATGAACTGATAGCAATGGTCACAGAAGCATTTTTAACGGGAGATCAAGAAGAATGGTGGATAGACACTGATGCAACTCATCATACATCAGGTAATTGAAATTATTTCATGACCTATGAATTAGTGGGGGGCGATAAAGTCTTGCATATGGGAAACTCATCCTCTGCTAAGGTTGTGGGAAAGGGAACTGTTGAACTAAAATTCACTTCCGGAAAGATGGTCACATTGATAGACGTATTGCATGTTCCTGATATTCGAAAGAACTTGGTGTCAGGTAAGCTTCTTTCAAAGCATGGTTTTAAAATTATTTTTGAGGCAGATAAATTTATTTTGTCTAAACAAGGCATGTTTGTTGGAAAAATTTATGCTACAAATAGCATGTTCAAACTCAAAATTGAAAATGAAAATATTTCTGCCTATGTTGTGGAGTCTTTAGATTTATGGCATGAACGTCTTGGTGATGTGAAATTTAGATCCATTCAACTTATGATGAAAAATGGATTAATTAAAGATTGTGCAAAGGATCATGTTGCTAAATGTATTACTTGTAGTACATATAAAATAATAAAGAAATCTTTTAAGCATGTTGAAAGGATATCCACACTTTTGGAGTTAATCCATACTGATATTTGTGAAATGGATTACTTATCACTTCATGGAAAGAGATATTTTATCACGTCATCGAAAAAGATATTTTATCACTTTCATTGACAATTACTCAAGGTATATATCTCTTTCCTTTAAAAACAAAAGATAAGACATGTGAGACTTTTAAAACATATAAAGCAGAAGTTGAAAATAAATTGAGTTTTAAGATTAGATCAATTAGATACGATAGAGGTGGAGAATATTTAAAATCAGATTTTATTAATTTTTGTGAAAAAAAGGCATTGAGAAACAATTGACTATGTCTTATACAGCACAACAAAATGGTGTAGCGTAAAGAAAAAATAAAACTTTCATTGAAATGGTTAACTCTATGCTTTATGGATCTGGTATCACTGAAAATTTATGGACCGAAGCCTTATTTTCTACATGTTATATTTTGATTCGAATTCCTTCCAAGAAACGTGATTCATATCCATATGAACTTTGGAAGAATCGAAAGTCAAATATAAATTATTTTTAAGTGTAGGGTTGTTTGGCTCTTGTTAGATTACTAGATCAACAATTGACTAAGATCGGATATAGAAAAATTAAATTATGTATTTATTAGTTATTCACAAACTAGTAAGGCTTATATATTTTTGAATCTTGAGACTCCAAGCCCTCACACAATTATTAAATCGTTGCATGATACCTTTTTTGAGCATATATTTCCTAGAAAAAAGAATCTTTTGAACAAAATACAAGTTCTTCTATATCTCCTCTTAAAAAAATAGTTAAACCTTAGGAAGAAAGTCAACTAAGACGTAGTGCAAGATCAGCCAAACCAACTTTGGACCAAATTTTTATGTCTATTTAGTTGAAAGGGATCCTGAAAGTTATGTCGAAGCAATGAATTCACATGATGCTCCTTTCTGGCGTGAAACTATTGATGATGAAATACACTCTATTATGTTAAACAATACATGGATTTGATCATACCTCCCTCCTTGATGTAAATCTATTGGTTGTAAATAGATCTTTAGAAAGAAAAAATATGATGGTACCTTAGAAAAGTACAAAGCTCAATTGGTAGCAAAAGGTTTTAGTCAATTTATAGATATTGATTATTTTTATACCTTTGCACCTGTAACTCGAATGACTTTTATTCGAATCTTGATTGCTTTAGCCGCAATTCATAGTCTGGTAATACATCAAATAGATGTGAAGACTGGAATTCTAAATGATGATCTAGATGAAGAAGTTTACATGAAACAACCAAAAGTATTTGTCATACCTGGTGAAGAACACAAACTTGATAAGCTTCTTAAATCTCTTTATGGATTAAAACAAGCTCCAAAATAATGGAATGAGAAATTTAGAAGAGTAATTATTTTTAATGACTACTCAATAGAATGGTGGTGATATTTTCATATTAAAAATTTTCAAGAAAAATCTAGTGTTATTATATGTCTCTATGTAGATGATATGTTGATCTTTGGAACTGATATTGAAAGAGTCAAAGAAACAAAATCACTTCTAGCTTATCAATTTGAAATGAAAGATCTTGGAGAAGCTGATGTAATTTTGGGTATTGAAATTATAAGATCAGCGAATGGCTTGACTCTTACTCAATTATGTCATATTGAGAAAGTTCTAAAGAGGTTTGGTCACTTTGACGACAAACCTACTCCTACACCATTTGATCATAGCATCAATCTAATGCGGACTTCTAGTGATGTTCTTGATCAGCTGACATATTCTCAGATTGTTGGGAGTCTTATGTATGTCATGCATTGTACAAGGTCGGATATTAGTTATGTAATAGGAACTTTGAGCAAGTTTACTAGTAATCCCGCATTGAACATTGGAATGCATTAATTTATGTTTTAAGATACCAGAAGAGTACAATTAATGTTGGCTTACATTATTCTACATTTCTCGTTATTCTTGAAGGCTATAGATGCTACTTGGAATTCTGATCCGAATGAATCAAAATCTATTACTGCTTGGATTTTCACTTTGGCTGGAGCAGCGATCTCTTGGAAATCAAAGAAGCAGACATGTATTACTCATTCAACCATGGAGTCAGAATTTATAGCTATGTCTTCTGCTGGAGAGGAAGCTGATTGGTTGTGATCTATGTTGATAGATATTCCTTTGTGGAGTAAGTCAGTACCACCTTTAACTATCTATTGTGATAATCAAACTGCTATATTTCGGCTTCAAGTGATTTCTACAATAGCAAGTCGAGACAAGTTCGTCTCAAACACAATCATGTGAGGAGATTATTGGAGGAAGGCTTGATATCTCTTCAATATGTGAAGTCCAAATTTAATTTAGCAGATCCTTTATCTAAAGGGTTAGGCAAAGAGTTAGAGGTGGAATCTTGTAATGGGATGGGAATAAAGCCTGTTGTAAATTAATTGTACTTTATGGTAACCCTACCTAATGATGTACTCGTGGGTTCAAAGGGGAAAAACAAGTAAAGTTACAATTGTAAATCACATCAATAAAATTCTCATTTTCAAATAAAATGAAACAAATAGATGTGCATGATTGATATTATTTTCTCTTAATTGAATTTGTAAGACTGATCTCAGTTGGAGTTAGTAAGAAAACTCTTGATAAATTTTTCCGATATTCCTACTGAAGAGAAGGGTGAAATTATACTCTCTTAATAAGTCTATAAATCGATTTCGATTGGAGTATGTAGGAATACTCTTGATAGATTTACCGATATTTTGCTATAAAGGAGGATGATATTAATTTCTGTTAATGAAGTTCATAGACTATTTGGTCGCAGTATGCGAAGTTACTCTTGATAAATTCACCGCACTAAGTGCGAAGTGGAGACCACTTCAATAAGATTTTAACAGGGAAATCTTAAAGTACTTGGCTAAAAGGATTCGGAACACATGGCCATAAGGTATCAAAGGATTTCGATTTTCACCGGAACATAGTGATAGTGGAGTATTTTTCTAACTTCATTCAATGAACCACTTAGTTCAAGATTTGTTCACTAAGTAGTCTAGATTTAGAAAACCTTCAATCGCTAATGGTTCGAGTCCAAAAGACACCATTATTAATGCATGTTGCTAGATTAATGTCTCTAAATATTTTGGAATTTTCAAAGATAAAATTTCTTGAAACAAGTGGTGGATTGTAAGAGTTAGTGTTCAATTAATTTTGAAACAAATTCTTCCATTAATAGTTTTTTGAAATATACAAAATATATAATGTGAATTGTAACATTCACTTTTGTTTTTAAGTCTACGTTATGGGTCTTTTGGAAGAAGCTTTTTAATTCTACGTTATGGAATTCTGAAAGATAAGTTTTTTCTTTTAATTCAGAACCTATAATAAATACAATTTAATTAAAGTATTTTTCTTACAAAACCTTTTTACAATAAATTGAGTTTATTTGGTTGAAAATAAAAAGAATTCAAACAAAAGTACTTTCCCTTGAAAAACACTTGTGAGACATTAATCAAAAGGTGAAATCACCAATTCAAGAATAGAAGAGCAACATTCTTGAATGCTACTTGTTTTGTGGCTTAGTTGAATTCCGAAGATAGAGTTGTTATTTATTCTTCCGAAATCTCATGGGAAAGACTCCAACTATCTTCAAGAAACGTATTAACGTGTTAAGCCAAACAAGTTTTATTTTGGATTCCTTGTATTTTTATCATTCTTGTTCATTTTTTCTAACAAAACATATCGTGGAGTCCTATCACACTTAATATTTGAACCTACATCATAAAATGTAGTGCCCCTAGAAAAGGAACATGCTACATATGGAATATTATTTATAAGTAAAACATAACCAAAATAACATAGAGGTACATGAAAGGGAATGACCACTCCAGAGCAATGCGCCGACGGGCTCCTTCATACCAAAAGTGGCAGTGTCGTCAATTGTCCTCCTTTGTTCCCCCATGCGATCTTCAAGTCATGAAACCCTTTGTTAGCCATCAATACAAGCTCAAGAACCTTTATCCTTGTGAACAATCCTTCAATACTTTGAAGTTCCCAAACTTGGCTATAAGTGAGTGGCCTTGAGGCAATATGAATTGCATCATTCTCCTCTTCTTGAGAAGGATTCGTCCTCGTATCCAAACCTTGCAAAACCATAGGGAAAGTGAATAATAATAAGATTTTCATGGCATGATGGTTAGCATTAGAAATAACTATTTTATCACCATACCAAGGATTCACAAATTTAACATATAACCAAGCATCGAAATGATAAAAAAGGGTTTGTAACCCATCAAATCAAGAGAAACTTGGCTACGTAAGAAACTTTGACAAAGGCATAGAGCGAAGGAACCAATAAACATGAGTAACCACACATGTAAACCCTCATTGGTTACACATCCCAACAAGCATAATTCCCCTTTTAAGACAAGTGGCACATGAACACTCTCATACCTAAGTGCAAAGGTATAAATAATGTTGACGTAAATTAAGATCCCATCCAATTCACTAGCTAACTTTAAGAATGTAATTATTCCCAATTCATGAGCGGGGTCAAGTAAAAAGTATTTCCCACAGAAATTGGAAAACGTACCTCATTCAAGCACATATGATCAAGTAATAACACCAAGTAAGAATCATATGAAAAAAGGAAGTGTTAGTACCACACTCATCACAATTTAAACCAACACTGGGTCAAATAGGAAGGAATTACCTAGAATCGATTCAAGAAGACTCTTATTTGACCTATTGATACCACTACTAAAATAAAATATGCTACCCACACAAGCATGAGTATCATCATATGAAAATAGATAACAGAGAAATGTGTCACGTACACTAAGGTCATCTAAGTTGTTCCAGTATGCAAAATCACAACTAAGTTCAAGGATTCTAGCACTCATTACCTTACAAGAAAAAACACAAAAAGACATTATGGTGAATTTAAGATAAATTTCACCTTGTTCTGACAAATAGCTCCTACCCCGATAAGATGCACCATCAACAAGATTATCCTTAAAGCGGCAGTAAAGAATAGGGTTTAAGAAAACTACCCTTCCCCGTACACAATGTAGGCCTTTCAAGTGGATTTTAAACCCTTAAGAAAAGATTTTCATCATATGGAAAGGTATTAATAGATTCACCCACATTATGCTTTTCATCTTGACCAAGCATCAACACACAAGTATCACAATTCAACTCACTACCAGGGTCAAATGCAAAGGAAATCCATAAACTTGGATCAAGTACACCCACTTTTATTTGATTAGTACTCTTACCTTCTAAAAACATACTCCACTCAAAAGTGTGAGGCTCATCATATGTAGTAGAAAGAGGTGTCACATAATTGAACTTCAATCAAGATGTTCTAAAGCTTAGCCTCTACTTTAGATATTAGGGAATCATGACTTTACTTTAGATATTAGGGAATCGTGACTCATCTGAAACATTGGAACACTCAAGGAAGAAGTAACTCTAAAAACATAAGCATCATCTTCCACCTTAACACTACCCTTTCCAATAAATGTACTATCATTTTCATAAAAGAGAATTCCATCATTGGCAAGTGTGTCATCACACCATAGTGGGTATTTAAAAAATTTAACAAAATTTTCATCAAACAAAGATGTCACATTGGAAGCATCATCACATTTATGACAGGGACAAAAATGAGCCATCTTTGAAAACACACAATAATCATTGAGCTCATCAATCATATCATCCAATCTAGAGATAGGATGAAGATACGTTAAGATGATTTTGTTGATGGACCGACAATCAACACACATTTGCCATGCTCTATCTTTCTTTGGAATCAAGAGAAACGAAATAGTGCACAAACTTGTACTTTCTCTCACATTGCCCTTATTGAGGAGTTCCTAGACATTCTTTTTTAACTCTTTGATATCCACCGAATTACATCTATAAGCCACTTTGTTTGGCCATTCTAAGCCCAACACGAAGTCAATTTGATGTTCAATTCCCTGAATAGGGGGAAATCCACTTGGTAGTCCCTTTAGAAGGACATTATTATAATTTTGCAAAATTAAGGAAATATAATGGGGGAGAGAAGAATTAGATTGGTTAGCTTGCAACGCATGATCCCTCTGTGTGATAAACTTTTGACCTCCACGTCCTCCCTTACTCTTTATGCTTCAACTTCCTCATTTCTTCCTCTTCATAGCTCTCGACCTCCACATGTCCCTCCTCCTTATTCCTTTTATCCCTCAACTCACTCATCTTTTGATACATCTTATTGACTTGAGATGGTGACATAGGATGAATGACATATGTATGTACATTCGATAGAAGTAAATAGGTGTTGGTTCTCCCATCATGTTCTGTTGAACGACTGTATTGTCAAGGTCTCCTGAGTAGTACATAATAAACTTGCATTGGATATCATCACATAGGACCGTATCCTGGTATTTCCTAACTTGGAACTTGATCAATACCTGTATACTAATCCTCAATTCCTTACACTCACTCAACCATGAAGTTTGTAAGGCTTAGAAAGCTTAGTGGTAGGAAGCTTCAAGAGAGTTGAACATAAATGTATAATTATAACTATGTCTTCACAAATCTTTGTAAAATAACATAAGAGTGATTGGTATGTAACTCATACAAAACACACAAAGTCTAAAAAGTGAACACTAAAAGCAATAAATAATCTTCATTGATTTGCTCTTTGAGTATGAGGACTCACCAATACAATATCTATTAGCAATCCAAATCTAAGGGGGGGGGGGGGTAAATTATAAAACAATATAGGTACAAATATGCATTAGTACATGAATACCAAGTATGAAAAAATATCCATATACGTAGACATGATATCATAGTAGCCTTAGAACTTGTAATGTATAAGCGAGTAGAGCACTTAAAAGCTTAGAAAACAAAGTTATTATAATCATTAGACAAGGTCAAGCGTTTAGTAATACATTATGAAGGCTTTAAGGAAAAATCATAGTTCTTTTGTGGGATATTATCTTTAAGTTACAATAGACCAAATGAGCTATAACATGGAATCTATTGTAATTGCTGCATCGAAAAAAGAGAATTTACTTTCCAAGATAAAACTTTTATCATATCATTATTTGTATGTGGATCCACTAGCTAAGTCACTTAAGACAACAAAGGCATAAAACAAACCAAGTCAAACAATGATTAAAATCTTAGAAAGCCTTGATCAAATTCGTGTTGAATTGGGAAGATAAAAATGCCTATCTACTCCTATATAAAACACCAATTTGATTACATTGAAGTCATCCACACAAATAAAGATCACATAACAAGATAATTATATGTGTCTTCTGTGAGAAAGTCAATTAACAACATTGCATATAACATGTTCATATCAGGAAATATATATAACGGTTCTAGTTATTTAATTGATTTGCTGAGTGTTTGTAAATTCTAGATCTTAAGTTGATTTGTATTGTAAGGGATCCAACAATGGGTAAAGTTATTTATGTGACGTCTACGCATACAATCGAACCATATTATAGAGAGGGGATAAGGTGTTATAGTGATTAGATTCTTAATTATCTGTTATAATGGTTAGCTCCTTAAAATATTGCAAACTCAAAATTACTGGTAATTGGGGGGGGGGGGGGTAAGGCATGGCTTTTAAACTCACGAGAGTGGAATTTTTTCATGTAATGTGTTGATTTATTTAAATTCCGCACTTACTTTTTATTTAGTTGTTGAAGAACGTGGTTCCTTAGAACACGTGGGAACAACATAAAATACATCAATACTTTTGTTGATAGATTTGACTTATTGTGACATTTCATACTTCTAACTAAAAAAGTCATTTGAATTTCTAACGTCACGCGCCAAGTCCCATTGAGACGGACAAACACCTGATTCCCTAAAGATCCAAGAGAACCAATTTATAACTTGTGCTTATAGTACATGTAACTGTGATAATTATAAATCTTGATGAGCATAGTTATAACATTTTAGATCCAAGAAAACCTAGAAAGGGGTCAAGTAGGCAACCCACAAGCCCAAAATTAGACTGTGAAACCCTCCAAGTAGCCCTACACGGGCCGTGAAGGAGAACATGGTCCATTAATGTGCTCATGGTAGGTTTTTCAAAACTTTCTAGACAGGCTCCACCTTAACACACAGTTAGGCGGTCTGTGGTGATGATGACATGTCGTCAAGTGGGTCAATCAAAAGGGGTTCTTCCTTAGTCACAAGTTAAGGACCAAGTATGTCTAAACGGTCTGTGAAGCTCCACATGAACCGTAAAGTCATCTATGAAGGAGACTTGTTAGACTTAGAGTTTAGAGTTAACTTCAAATAATCATATATTTTCAGCACAAAATGAATTAGGTGGCCAATTACCTATCAAATTAAATATCTCTAAATCTTCTTTCCAAAGACACTAAGTTTTCCTAATTTACAAGCTCAAAGTAAAAAGTTATTCTCAAAATTGTGAATCCCTATCGGACAGAGCATCTTCACAACCCACTCGAAGGGTCGTGGTGCTTTAAATGACATGTGAAACTTGTCTTGGAGCCACTTCATTGGCTTTTAAGTCAGGGTCGCATTGGTCTTTTCCCCTATGTGTTTGCTACTTAAAATACATTGTTTTACCCAGTTTAAGTCTAATAATCTACTCAGAAACTACCCAGAATCCCCATTCTCCAAAAAAATCATCTAACTTAGAACAAAAAGAAGAGAAAAGAGGTGATAGTTTCCCATAGAACAAGAGAGGTTTTCTTCAAGTTCAACCTCAAAATTCAAAAGATTTTTCTGTAGTTTCTGTCACCAGGTATGTGGGATTTCACTAGTGGGTTCCTTTCACCCATTAGGTCCCTAGAATTTAGTTAGTTATTCATTTTCTCTTAAATTGTTTACCCCTACGATTTCCAAAACCTTGGTGATTCCTTGTGATTTCAGCTGTTATAGTTTTCACGATCTAAATAACATGTTTCTTAGGATATTTTCATAATTCCATGAACAAAATTAAGAAATCTAGATTATATTAATATCATTACTCATGGATTTTACTTTCTAGGCATATCAGTCAGAAAATCATTCTTTAGAATTTGAATGCCACATCTTTCTATATATTTTTATGGCATTGTCAAATAGCATGTCAGTATTTTGAGCTACTCAGTATTTCAATTGCATTATAACTTTACATTTAGTTGAGAGTAGACTTAACACCAAATTGGACTAGGTTCATTGTGCCCTCTGGGATGCGGTCCACATAAATAAACAAATAGGGATTGACCCATGCTAACCTTTTAGCCCCTAGATTGTCGTCACCTTTAATAATATAGATTGGGATCATCTCATGCTAGGTATTACCACCCTTGAGTGTTCACCCTGAAGTACAAGAATCAGTATTGCCCATGCTAAGTATTTTGATCCTTGAGTTTCCAAACATAATTATATAGATTCACTTTACCTTGTATCTTTAATCTTTGAGATTATTCTTTAATGTTCATAACTCTTTGAGATTTATGTTTATATGCCAGTGATATAGACACCTGAATAAATTATTAGAGATAGGAATAATGATATATGAAGCAAATATAACTTTATTGTGATATTTAGGAACTTACATGACTCATTAAAATCATTGGGCACTAAGAATACATACAGATGATCCACGAAGGTGTGAGGCAAGTAGTGACATGCAGAATATGAGTTATTAAGGTGCATAACAAGTGAACACGTGATTTTGCTTAGAAGATGCTTTATTTAAAACACATTTGGACATTTCACATGGGGACATACATGCATCTGTAATAGAGACTATACCTCCTCAAATAGAAAAACAATGACTATATAAGATGATACGATAGCTAAAAACATAGTAGACAATGTCAAATGAAAGAGTGCATAATCATCTTTACTAATGAAGCATATGAAAGAACCAAAATAAGGATTAAACATTTCAAGTAAGGACATGTAAAATGAATAATGAACATAATTTGAATCTGACATATAAATATTTGTAACATGTATAATGTAGGATCTTATTGTCTCAATGAATCTCATTTTACTTGGTGGATAGCTCACACAACTTATTGTTTAAGGTACCTTTGTCAAAATAGTACTTTGAAAGTATAAACACATCAATATTTGATAATGAACACATATAGAAGTAGTTTGACAAACTTTTCAAAATTTGGACAGTATTAGGAAGATCATTAGCTACTTTGGATATTGTAAACTCTCACATTGTATCTTTTACCATGAGGATCACTTAGAGATCTCAATTTGTTGGTACACGGAATATAGGATTTCATGTCAAAAGATATGGAATCAAATAGCATTACATACCCCAATTCCCAATTCATATAGCTTACGAAGTGTCAACCTTTCCTTTGATATGATAATCTTCATCTACAACAAACAATTAGTAAGGCTATACTAGTAGCTAACCAACCAACTGGAGATATTTTAACTCATCAAAACAGTAACCCGATATCAAGCCCATAATCCTTTTAATTAAAAGTGTTCTTCCACACATTCTTTTTGCTATAGTTATTTACATGGAACAAACTTTCATGAGGTTTTTTTGGCACTCCTTGGACTTCATCATTTATATATATATATATATATATATATATATATATATATATATATATATATATATATATATATATATATATATATATCTATATGGGGCTGACAATGTGCTTATAAAAATTTCAACTTTAATGGAGTATTGCCACAATCTATGAATCTTTCCTGTAAAAAGTATAACCAAACACTCTTAAGTCCATCCATGAACTCTCATAAATGAACCCATATCATTATACACTCCTCAACACCCCAAGACAATCAAAAGACTTGAATTCACGACATTCAATCACCGTTCCATGAGATCTATGGCAACACCTTACCTTGGCTGTATTAATATGTTATTCTCCATAAGTTATTGTGTTTGTAACCTTTTATAAACCACAAAATAGGAGAGGAAAATCAACACAAGTATCACATGAAAATGAGGGAAATAACCAAGCTTATAGCATGAAAGTTTTACCTTAATCTTTGTAAGAGAGAGACAATACCTTTGTTGCCAACACCTATATCTCTCTCTACTTCATTCCCCTAGAATAAATCTTCAATATACTTGAAACCATGGATAAGAGAAGGTGATCTTGTGGCTGCTTTGGAAGAAAAAATATGAAAAATACTAATTAGAACCCTAAATGAAATGTTTCGGCGGCTATTTCATCTTGAGGGAGAGAGAGAGAGAGAGAGAGAGAGAGAGAGAGAGGAAATATATGAGCTTGAGAGACTTGAAATTTGGATGAGAGAAAATGAAACATTTGTGTTAGTTTTTTTTTGTTGCTTTAATAGGTTCTCTTTTGCCCCCTCTCCTGTAGTTCATTTTCAACAACCGTTCGTCTTTAATTTAAGAAGGTGTTGCACCTACTTTTTCCATTCAAATTTCTTGTGGGCTTGGACATATTGGGCTTTGGACTTCCATTATTTTCATTCCCCCCTTCTTTTGGACAGATTGGGCCTCAAATTGATCATTTAATGTAGGTCCTCCATACAACTCATTATTTAAAGTAGGTGATGCACATACTTGGTCCTTTTAACTTGGTCCATATACCTTAAGTAGGTGATATACCTACTTGTCATCTACTAGCATAATTTAGTCAAGCAAGCACCTCACTTATTTTACATTATTTTTCCAATCGTATTCTCTTTACAAGACCTTAACACTAATACGCACTTGACTACTTTTGATTTTAACACCAAATACCACATTTCTCTATCTCGAGTTGAATTTTTTTTTAGTTCACTTAGTTGTACATGTGTTAGAAGGTACGAGGTATTACACCTAACTTATATTTTCACATAAAATGATCATGATTCGTTCATTTTCATCTAAACAAGAGGCCAAATTGGTTTAGTGATGGTCACTAGTCAATATAGTTGATCGAAAATAGTTATTTTTCAACAATTTTTATATCTTAAGCTTATAATATCACCACTAATCATAAAAGAAGAAGAGGTATATTAATTAGTGAGATTGTAATAGTTAAACATAATTGAAAGAGGTGTTTATATTGTAGAAGAGGATTATATGCAAGTGTAATGTAATAAGAATCATAGGAGCAACATGCGTAAAGTGTAATTATAACTCTGTCAATCAATTACTTTTAACATTTGTTATGAAATTTATTGCTCAAATCACGTAAAGACATTCATTCATTGTCTTGTTTTCTTCAAAATTACAAATATTTCTTCAATCAATTGATTTCTTAATTAGTAATCACTAATAATCAACATAATAGATACCTAATATCCGTCAGATCAATAATATAAACGATATGATATTTGACTAGTGTAAACTTTATTCTACACACATGTTATATACTTGCCAATTTTGATGTTGTTACCAAGAATTACACAATATCTTTATGCTATTTGTCATTACTACAACATTAATAACTGATTTCAAATTTCCCTTTTACTTATTGTTGAAATTAACTTGGTCTACATCACTCCTGTTTTTGTATAGAATTATGGATAGGGTATGATCGAATCTCCAATCTCTATCGATATAACTATTTTCATACAATTCATAGATCAAATGAACATTATATTAAATAAAGATGAGATTTGAGGAACTAGTTGAAAGTCAACTACAAATACAAAAGCAATAGTTGAAAAAAAGTAAAATGAAAACAATAAAAACGAATATAATGAAGGGTTTCCAATAGTTCTTGTAGTCGAAGATCAATTTGATGAGATGACATCCTGTGCGACTAAGAAACTCCTTAAGGATTATGCACGACAGAACCATTTTTGTTAGGCGATAATTAAGCATCAGAAGACCAATGACACAATAGAAGCAACAACGAAACAAGAAACTAGAAGATAAATATTATTCAAGAGCAAAGGCGAACCCAAGATTTGAAGATTGGGGGGTACTACTAAAAGTGACTCAAGGGTAAGGTTAGAGTGGCATAGTGGTGACATTAGCAAAGCCTTCTTAAGCCTCCAAAAGTTTGAGGCCCCAATAAATTTCAATAGTGAATTTATTATTTTATAATTAGAAAAAAGAACAATCTACTTTTTATCAAGAATATTATAGAAAATCGACGTATTCCATCTCGAATATACTTTGAGGATATTCAATTATCATTAATATCCGGTTGACAAGGCCCTTGTTGAATATAATGTTTTCTCACTTCATCTCGCATTCTAGGGCTATATTTTTTATGGATATTCTTTCTTCAGGATCTGGTTTAAGTGACTGCAAACCAAACTCAATAAAACGCAAAGAATTGTCTCTAAAATTAGCACTTGGTTGAGAAGAATTATTTTTCGTCAAAAATCTATTCATCTCAGATCACAAGAATCAATAACTAATTATTGCAAAAAATAATACGCTTATAAAGAAGAACTTACAAAAGCGAGCTGAAGCGTTCGACTAGTGCACCCACAACGACTTTTAGTTGTTAGGGTGCACAATTATATATATATATATATATATATATATATATATATATATATATATATATATATGTATGTATGTATGTATGTATACGAATTGCTTAAAAATGTTACCGGGTGCACGTGCACCCTCATCGATACATGTGGGTCCGCCCCTGATCATGTCATGTAGGAAGCGTGTATCTATTTGTTCAAAAAAAAATTTAAAATAAAAATTTGAATCATTCACAATTGGTGTGTGTCATCCTTGTGCAAGGGTCGTGCTAATCTTCTTTGTATCATTCTAATTTAATTGAATATCTCAAAGAGTTTTTTATGTATAAATTTAAATGTTTACTTGTGCACACCTAAAACTACACGACATAGATGTCAGTTAAAACCAAATTAAAAACTACATTTATGTATTTAATCATTATACCATTAGCAAACTCCAAACACATTTACACTATTTTTAAATAAAGAACTATTTTCATTAGTTATATTATACAATTATACTTCCTTCGTCCACTTTTAATTGTTATGTTGTACTTCTCGAAGAGTCAAATTGACTTATTTTCAAAGTTAAATTAGATTATATTAATTTGATACTTTAAACAAAATTTAGATATTAAAAAACTATACAAAAAGTATTATATATTATATATTTTTTGCATATTAATATGATGAAAAAATCTCCTAAAATATTAGTCAAAGTTCTTATAGTTTGACGGTATAAAAGGAATGAATAGAGAGACTAACATTTAAGAGGATAAAAAGAGAGAGCAAACAATTTTTTTTTGATTTACCACCAGCAGTTCAGATCCCATATTGGAGCTCTTTAAATCTAAATTGCGCACTGTCCACTGGCCCATTCGGAGGTGACACTCTAATTAAGGGTTTAAGGCCGCTGCTAATACTTTAATATTGAAATAAATAGGAATATAATTTTGCCCTCTTCCTCTCACTTGTCTCTTTGATTTTTCCATCCAGGCCAGAACCTGTGAAAGGTAATCATTGTCTCTTTAGATTCTCTAAGTAATTTTTTCTATTTGATGTAATTTCTGAGCTCTGGCATCATTGTTACTCCTTAACTGCAATGGTTTTCCATTTGTTGTTTTTTTGTCTGTGCAACGATGTGCTTATAGTTTTGTATATAAGTGATGCAATGTTACTCCAGTTGATTAAAAACGACTTCTTGTGGAACGTGCAATTTAGGTGCTTAGATGAGAAAGTGAATTTTTTTTGTGTGGGAGGGATTTCTATTCAATGTACTAACTTTCTCAAAATTTTCAGTTCATTTTCGTAAACTGAATTATGAACATCCTAGGCATTGGCCGTCAGAGAAAGGAGCAGTCCGTCGTTGGAGGGAGTAGGGAATATGGTCATCGAAAATAAAAAAAAATAAAAAAGAAAATCAGTTGGGGTCCAAGCGGTGTAGAATAACCCACCGTCATGTGGGAGGTACTTGTAACTCTACCAAAATCATAGTGGCTTCGTGAAGTAGAAGAGGAATATTCTTATTTTCTTGATTAACAATATACAAGAAATAACTCCCTATATAAGAGTTCTAGATTACCTACAGCTATAGGTAATCATTCCATATTAATTATCTTATTAATTTTTCTATGTGAAGAAATTCCTTATTAACTATATTTATATGAGATGTTGAATGCAAGTTCCTAATGTAGCAAAACCAAGGTACCTTTATAATACTAGAACACAGGAATCATCATGGGATGACCATATTGATACTGGAAAGTTGTTAAACAAAAAAAGGAAGTTTTTTAATGAGGTAATTGTTTATAAAAATAAAAAATGAGGATGTTATAATATTCCTTTTTTATGAAGTGATTTCATTAAAGAAACCATCAAGAAGATGTAGTAGTTACAGATATGTCGTAAAAACTTACAAAAAATGTGGCAACTAACAAAACAAACTATGCCAAAACTACAGAGCTAATAAAGTCCAGAAGTTGAACCGAAGTTACTGAACTTCTAGCTGGACATAAACTAGACCAACTAACAAGCTAGCGAAGCCTTCCCATCAAAACATCTCTTGTTCCTTTTTGTCCATACGCACCAAAAATTTAAGCATGTATAATTGTCTATATGCTCGCAATGTTTGAATCTGCACATTGTTAATTAACAATGAAGTCACTAAGAAGTTCTCTTCTTTTTTCCTGGTGTGAGAGCCTTTATGATCTTGGTATAATCTCTCAACTAGCTTCTGCCTTCACAGTTTGCCTGCCAATTTTTTCCTTCTTTTCTCTTAGTTTTCTGGGGATTGGTGTCATCTTTCTCTCTGATAATTAACTTTCTTTTCTGTAAGACAACCATTCTAGCCCTGTCCCTCTCTACAGTAATTGAACCCTCCTCCATACTCCACCAACACTATCCTCTAAACATTGAGTTTCTTGTTATCATTTGCCAATTTTAAGTTACACTGACGATATTTTGGAGATTTGCAGCACCACACTTCTATTTGACGGCTAATAACTAATTCCTTTTTATGTGCTTGTGTAAAAATATTATCTTTAGCTGTGCAGTTACTAACTACTTTCTAGAGGAAAAAGTTGCAATGCTACCTTTTTTGTGATTGCGATTATGACTATTCCAGTAGATTTTTGCGGCAACATTCTACGTTTCCAAAATAAGATCAATTTGCTTTCTCACTTCAATTTTGAGGGGCATGTTGGATTTTAAGTGAATATGCATATAGATCCAAAAATGGAGAAAACTAAAGTCGAGTAAGGAAAATATTCTATAAGATATGTTATTAGGTATAAATAATGATTATATCCAATATTGTATATAGCAGAAAACTCTTATATGATACCATTCTTATATAAAAGGGATAGAAACAACAAAGAAGATTGGGAACCTCGTCCAGAGTATTGTACCATTGAAATGCTTTATCCTAAAAGGGTAGATCTTACGAGGAGTACTCAGCTAGAAGGAATGAGAGATTGAGGAGGAAGAAGGGTGGGGACACTGGCAATGAGAAAAAATTGGTGTATCATGTAACATTTGGGAGTTAGAGTTGAATCTTTTAGAAAAAAAAAGAACCTAAGAAGTTCCAAAATGCTAGAAATTAGTTACTTCTACACCAATTGCTGAGAGGAGAGAAACTCTAAGGTATTTCTTGAAAAGCACAACCAGTAAGGAGAACAAAAAACCTCATTTGCCTATTAGCATGGACAAATTTGTGGGGTTTTCATAGAGGAGAACTACAGCCAGAAGAGTTAGGAAAATTTGAGTTGGAATGAACTTGTTTACCTCCTCCATAGAAGAGTAAGCTCATCCTTTGATGTCTTACTCTGATGAGTCGAGTCTGATCAACATTGATTTGTTAGTGCAGTCTATAAAATCATCTCTAAATTGCTGAATAAAAGAATGAAGACAGTAATTGGGGAATTGGTTTATGAACACCAAATGGCTTTTATGAGAGGTAGGCAAAAAATGGATGCAACATTATTGACTAATGAATTGGTAGACTCAAGGACAAAGTAGAAGAAACCAAGGATTATATGTAAGCTAGACACTGAAAAACCTATGACCATGTTAATTGAAATTTCCTCCTAAAATTCTAAAAGACATGAGATTCGGTAGCAAGTGGATTGGTTGGATCAAATATTGCATCTCATGTGTGAAATTTTTCCTTCTCATAAACGGAAGCACATAAGGGTTCTTCTAGTTTGAGAAAGATCTTATACTGGGCCCAAACTCCATTTTCCTATTTTTAATCGCCATGGAGGGGTTGAATCATATGTTAAGGAAGAAAATATTAATGAGTGTATGAGAGGATTTAGTGCACTTGCTAGGAGAGGGGAGGAGTTGGAGATCACACACTTATTCTATGCTAATGATACTCTGATATTCCGTGAGGCAGCTGAGGCATAAATTAGACACATAAGGGTTATATTCACTTTTTGTCAAGTCATTACAGGCCTCCATGTCAACTAGTTGAAGAGTCATCTCTTCCCTATAAACCAAGTTGACATTCTGCTAGACATTCGGTTGCCAAAAATATAAACTACTAACAAAGCATCTAAGACTACCTTTAGTGCCAAGACCAAAGAGCTAGAATTGTGGAATGTGGTGTTGGAGAGATGCGAGAAGAAACAAGCCAGTGGAAAAATTAGTATTCGCCAGGAGGTGGTAGGATGACCCTCGTCAAGTCAAAACTGGATGGATTGCCTACTTATATAATGAGCATATTTCCAATCACCGAGAACATTGAGAAGAAAATAAATAGGCTCACGAGATCTTTTCTTTGGTAAGGCAATAGGGAAAAATAGTCTAAAACATGGTCAAATGGGGTACTCTCACTCTCAGCAAAAACCAAGAAGGCTTAGGACTAAAAACCTAAGTCTCCCAAAATAATTGTTTACTCCAAAAAGGAATATGGAGATTCTGTACTGAAGATAGAGCCTTATAGAAGAGATTTAAAGTAGGAAAGTATGGTTTACCTAACCAGTGGACAACTGAAGAGGTTATGGGCAGATTTGGATGTACTATCTGAAGACCATTACAAGAATATGTCCATATTTTAGAAACAACATATGCATTAGTGTTGAAGATGGAATGAATACAGAGTTCTAGAATGAAATATGGATTGGGGAGAGGACAGTTTGAGAAATATAATACCTCACCTATATTCATTGAGCCAACAAAACAATGATACTGTGGCACACGTTTGAAGTCAATAGGGTGGAATCTACTATTTAGGAGAGCATTCAATGATTGGGAAATTTAGGAGGCTGCTATGTTATTAGCGGTTCTTAATAATTTCCCAGTCAAAGGTCTGGTAAATCAATATGGAAGATAAACAACAAAAGGGTCTATACAATGAAATCATGCTATTGGAAGATGAACTATAATGTCTTACTGTTTGATAGATGGCTCTGGAAGCGGCTTTGAAAGGTTAAGTATCCATTGGAAGTCTCATGTTTTGTCTGGATACAAATTAAGAAGGCATGTCTCATTGATGATGTCCTATAGAAAAGAGCCATGCAAATTTGTTCAAGGTGCTTTATGTGTCAACAGAAAGTAGTAGTGAAGAACTATCTATTCATACAGTGACAAATAGTTGCCAGTACATTTTTTATGCATTTTGGGGGTTTTTTAGGTGATGCCAAGGACTACTGTGGAGCTTCTGAACAATTGACCAAGAGTTGGAAGCAGAGGTAAAAAGGAAGAAGGATGGAAGCTCATTCATCATTTATCTAGTGGTCTCTATGGGAGGAAATAAACATTAGGTGCTTTGAAGGAAAAAAAAATACTTTTTAGAGGATTAAACAAACTATATTAGTGTTATTTTTTGTGTAAACAA